AAATGAGTCTGTAATCAAGAAACACAGCGGTAATTTGGAACTCGAAAAGGGTGTATTACTATTTACTATACTATTTATTTTTCTAAATCCAAAACTTAATCTATCACATACCTTGCCTCCATCACATGGCTTTCCATTGTATACATATTTATTCGAAGGACACTAAGTAAATACGATACCAATTTCAAGTTAATGTGTTCAAATTATTTAAAGYGTATAAAATAAAACAAATGCTTGAAAATAGCTGCAATTAGACAATACATTTTWAATTTTGTTTCACGGACAATAGGACAATGTACTAACCAATGATGAACTTCCACTACAGAATTCCGGCAAGTCACATTCTGTTACTTTCTTTCGGCACAATACTTTTGAAGACTTAAACTAAAAAGCAAAAATAGTATAAAATAGTGATTGTGCCTTCCTTACACAATTAATGTCAAAAAAAACAAAAAAAAAKACAATCATTTTCCCTCTCACTGAGGATTCATTTTTCTCCATTTTCCACCTTACATTTGCTTATTTTGTTTGTTTGTTTTGTCTGTTTTTCATTTGTCTTTTTTTTTTTCCTCACAGCTTGTCTTGTTATATATTCATGTATTTAGCTTTGTACTTCAACTGTCCTAACTTAATTTCCCTTTGACCTAGCCAYTTAGCTAGATTAATATAGATGGCTATAAGTGTCCATCCACATATTTTTYCCCTTTTCACTAGTTAAAGCTATTAAATGTAATTTTAGAAAGTGCCAAATAAAGATGTAGTCGTTGTTGTTCTTCAAGACATTAAGGGAGTTTAAAATATAATATATGCACTTATTTACCTTGCATTTTTCACAGCATGGCCCTTCATCACATTCGACATGAGACAGGAGTTTACAAGTCCTTGGATCACAGCAGTTGTCAGTGTATTTTTCACACTCCTTGAATAAATTAAGAAATAATTTCTTTAAAATCATGAGTGCTTAAAATGTGCAGTTTCAGACAGAAGATATTCATAACTTCCTAACTTAATGGAAACCCTGACAAATCCTTTATTTCTTTGTACCAAAACATCACCATTTAGATGTCAAACTGCAATTCAGTCTGCCATGAAAGGCYCAGTGTTTTCTTTAGATTTATCAATGAAAATTGTACCGTCYRTCACTCTGCCTATAAAAATCTAGCGTCGGGTCCAAAACCAACAACGAAGTCCTCAAGTATTAACTGCTGCTTCAGTTATTTTACATTTACATTTCTTATATAGAGCTGGTGATGTAATTCCCAATTTCCACGTGCATATCTATTTAATCCCTTATTCTTTATTCCCTCATACTTCATGCTTAACCGTGTAACAAAATTATTTTCCACATATTTTCAACCTTTAATATACCCTATATTTTCTATTCATAGATAGTACGTACAGTGTAGTTGCCACAATCACATTCCTCTCCTTCCTCTTTAAAGCCATTGCCACACACTGGATCTCCATAAAGCTGAAACGAAATAACATGGACTAGCTACATGTCAAAAAGCAAAATAAAATACCATCTTTATCAAAACCTGAATTAATAACCCTGATCTAAGGGATCCGATGGCTGCATCATGGGTTGAATACACCTCTTTACCTTGGGAGAAACATGCAGTGAACACCTGTCATTCTCTTRCAAATAAGATTCTTTGTTTGAGACTTGTATGATCTATATTCATGTTTCTTCTCAGTGCAACCATTAAACAGAGTAAAATATTATACTCTAGGGAATGACAGGTGGCCTGGAATGTGATGTTCAAAGTAAATTGATCCATCGGAAATGTACATGGAATGTTACATGTTGCAGTCGAGGTAGAAAGTTGGAGGAGAGATGTTTTAAGCAATAGTTGTCACATGAATTGAACATTTAAGATCAGCTACTACGTACAACATCAACTTTGATTCCCATTACATGAATGAGCAATTTTACATACAACTCCAATTATTTTTACCCAAAGGGAGGGGGGGGACTCCGGGAAAAAAGTACCGGGGATGCTTGTCAGAAATTTTCAAAACGACCCCTAAAAGATACCAGAAGTCTTTAAAAAAGGGAGTGGCTGAATGATTTTTAACCCCTAAGAGAAACCACAACAAATAATATTAAATTAAAAGTGCCTAGGATAAGCCATATCAATGCACGCTTCTCTCCTTTTCTGACACCCTAAGAGATGCCAGAAAATGCTGATTTTCAAAAATTTGCATTTAAAACCCTAAAAGATAACAAATCGTGCATTTTTACCCCTAAGAGATACGACGAGCATCCCCGGTACTTTTTTCCCCGGAGTGCCCTCCCCTGGGATTTTTACCTCCTTTGGTTCATTGAAAAGACAAGAATCAAGACCCTTATCAAGCATTTTTTGAAACTCTTTAACGCTACAAGAGGACCAATCTGTAGCGGGCTCAAATCTAAATAAGAACGAAGAAACAACAAAATCACATAATGCATGCATCAGTGTTTTATTTCAAATAAAAAGGGATTTAACAGTGGCATATTTCCACAAACTGGCTCTTCATCTACTGGATTTCAAATGGAATTTAGGAGTTGACTTTTGTGGAGGGAGGATAACTGTAGAACCAAGAGAAAATACCTTCAAAGCACAGTTGGGTCCCAACTCACGACAAAATTGAGACTTGAGAATTTCTCTCAAAGATCCAGAAAAAAAATTAATAACTTTGAAAATAGAGGCCACCAGAATTATTTATAAGGAGGTGAGCATATTTTTTATATTTTATAGTACATTTTTGGTGGTAGAACTTTCTTTGAGTATGAATGGGGCATTGCACACAATCCACCCCCACTTCCTTTGGTTTGTCCTGGAATTACAGAATTGTTGACCAGAGTAATGGTTATTGCATAATAATTTGTAATGTGACAAATACCTGGCCACTCCAGACATTATGCAGACTTGATCTTTTTTCTTCGCAGGACACTTACATTCTTCTGCAATGCAATATTAGTAATATTTAACAATTATTTGCCATTGAAGGCGAAGTGAATATTGGGGAATATTTACCAAGACAAGAGTCTTTGAGCGCCAAGGTAAATATTCTTAATATTCACTGAGCCTGAGGTGAATAATTGTTTTAGCATGTTTAACACAAGTGAATTCAATTAATAATGGAGAGAGAGTTTTGCTTTGTTTTTTTCTTTCCTAAAGTATTTTTTATCATTTCAAGCATGTGAGTGCATGCTATATTCACCTGTAGGACCTAAATTGTGACCAATGTGACCAAGAAGCACACAAGATTTATTATGTTCACTTTCTTAAAAACTAATCTACAGTCAAACTACCTCAAGCGTGAACACGTAGAGGTCATCAATGACTTTATTTTTGGACTTGATTTCATTATTGGATTCAAAGATTCATTAATGAAAACGAATCTTCAAAGCCTGGCATATACAAAAGCCAAGCATATATGCAACTGAAATGCAAAAACAACTTTTTGTGCAAGGAATAYGTAATATTAATGACTTACCTTCCGTTTGCGCTGTAAACAAGAGCCTACAAGCCAAGTTAATCGAATTTTCAAATTATTACTATTWTTTGAATATTGAAGATTCGTTTTCATTAATGAATCTTCGAATTGAATGGTGAAATCAAGAATCCAAAAATAAAGTCATTAATGAAGTCTACGTGTTCCCRCTTGAGGTAGTTTGACTGTAAAAATTAATATTATTTTGGTAGACAGAAAACAAAAAATCTTAATAGATTTAACCRTAGAGACAATAGGGTTCATAAAGTTCAAATTTGGACTTGTATTACATTGTTTTTTTTTCAAATTTCTTACTTCTATCATCATGATCTAGTCCAAGATTATGTCCCATTTCATGAGCTAATGTAGCAGCTGTCGCAGCAGCATTTGATGAATGATCCTAAATCAAACATATTTACATAAATGTTTATATAAATATATGGGACATACATATATATATATATATATAACTAATAATAATAATACTTTATTGATATCAAATGGCAAACAGATAAAAGTTTGAAAATCTTCATATTTATAATATTTAAAATTATTATAAAGGCATAAAAATATATGGAAACTCCCATATATTTAGAAGGGCTGATGTTCAATGGAAATTTTGAAACTGACCCCTTAGGGTAAAAGGTAAAGGTAGGTAAGGTAAAGTAATTTGTTTTACTTCGATAATGCGGAGAGTGGTTGCCCAATTCTCCCGAGCCAAGGGCTCATGTTTAATGCACTCRAAGGTGCACCCTCTACCCCCTCTTACAATCAGTGCTCCTTTTTACGGATATTTAAAGCTAATTAAAGCTACACAGATCAGAGAGAAGTTGAAACAGACGTGGAGTTCCCGAGGATCGAACTATGGACCTCTAGCTCTTTAGGCCGCACACTAATCAACTGAGCTATGCCTGCTCCTAGGTTAGGTAAGGTAACTGAAATTTTGTTCTGGTGGGCATGACAAATAAAAGTTTTCAGATGATGAGCCAAAATAAATAGAGCTGTTTTTGTATGACTGTGGAAAAAGTCAGCGCCTTATGTGTGCCTTGCTGCTTTTAATTGCACGAGCCTTTAGGCAAGTGCAATTAAAGAACTTTCAAAACATTAYGACTGTCTATCAATTTCAAATTGTAYGAGAAGATCGTGTGATTTTTTGGTTTATAGTTCACTCAACAAAATTTCAGTAAAAAATGCGAAGCGACGCCATTCATCTTTGTCTATTTGGCGGCCGATTTTCAGTCCATCGAGCAACTGAAATTCATTTTAAAAAATTAGTTCTTACGGCTTTAAAATTTTATTTATATCTTTTTAAGTATAAAATGATAGAAAATAATTGTTTTGACATTGTTTTGGCCGTGTTGCCATAGCGACTTAATTCGGTACTCCTACGGAGTACAATTAACGCTATGATTGTACTCCTCTCGACCAATCAGAGTCGAGTAATTTTGTTGACTGTACTATAAACTTCGTAATATAATATAATTAACAATAACGACTTAATATTATTTGAAACTTACCCGTACAACCCCTGCTGAACGAGTTGTGCATATTGCAAGAACATGAGCCTTTCCCACAGTCTGCCKTTCAAACTGCATATGACTAAATCACAAAGATAGATCAAAACCTTTGGTAATAACTGACTACTTTCTTATTCCTTAGATAATATGATTCGTACATACATTTTCATGCACTTTCTCATGTGAAGAAAAGAATAATACACAGGGGAATGACCCATGGTCTCAAATGGAAATACATCAATAAACCAATGCCAACTAATAGTGTACTATATTTCTTCATTTTCAAAGCAAAAAGCAAAGTTCTTACTAAAAAATATACACAGCTAAAAGCATAATTAATTTCCAATGCAAAAACCTTACTTGGGATTGATAATTGGTTATTTTGGTCATAATAATTATTAACAATATCAATGTATTATGTACATAACTTTTTATGGACTTACGTCAAGAGCTGTGTGTTGTCATGATAAAATGTCCTATTCTTCATAAGAACAACATTCCTCCATTTAACAAAATTTGCTAAAGCTTTATTTGAATTGTTTCCGACCAAAATTTCATCTTTATCCTTCCATGTGATCATTTCTATCAGTGCAACTCGAACTTTTAATGCTCGGTAGAACTGTGTATTTAAAGACAATAGTTCACCAAATGCGTAACATAAATATAGAGAACAGTCATTATTCCATTATACCAGTGAAACAAAACCGATTATTGAGAGTGTGTGGTTAAGTGTCATGTATTGTTTTCTGTTGCAATCTATAACTGACTTAGATTTGTAATTTCATTTAATCCCTGATAATGGGCCAAATGACCCGAAACAAAATCAAGCATTGAGCGCGCACGGTTAAGTGTCACACATTTTTTCTGCCGCTTTCTATAACTGACTGAATTGTAATTTCATTCAATCTCTGATGATGGGGAAAGCTGCCAGGAAGCTTGGATATTAAAAAATATATAAAATTACTGTAGAAGAAACGTTTAATTTTGATAAATATGACACCTGCATACAACATACTCAATAGTCCCCTTCACAGTTCCCTGCGCCATCTTGAAAGATAGCCGTGTCTTTGCATCGAAGCGAGACAAACGGTGAGCTTGCAATGATAGAGACCTTGAACAATTATTCACATGTCTCTATCATTGCAAGCCCACTGTCCGTCTCGCTTCGATGCAAAGACACGGCTACATTTCAAGATGGCGCAGGGAAATGTGAAGGGGACTATTTCAAAATCAAATTAGTTAGAACTTAACACCACCAAAATATCGGCTAAATGCAAACTTAGTAAATAAATAAAAAATAACAACAATATTTTCCACACAACGCAGCACCTAAGCTTGAATAATATGATATTGATGAGTTCATGTTTAATCACACCTGAATAAACCTYAATTAGTTCCCAGTGAAAATAAAGTAGTAATTTAAATATCAGGTGCTGGTTCAATAGCTCCATGCATGAAATAAAATTGATAATATTCTGGTTGAGTGTATATATATACTATTTGTTGAAATATAAAAACGATTAGATAAAACGAGTATAAGGAATGCGCTCTATACCATTTACCATTTAACTCTAACTCTATTTAATCAATTAAAATCTAACTAACACTGGAAAAACTTACAGAATCCACATAGTTGACAATCTTTAAAGCTCTTTGAGTGGTGTTTTCCTGGTAGTATTTGTACTATACAAAAAATGATTAACATGACAATGAATAAATGTGAATAAATAAATGATTGAGGATGGATAAATGGAGCACTACAAAGGGTCTGGAAGGGTATTCACAGGAGCTGGGAAACAGATAAAATTTAGCGTGGGATCTGGGAAATTAGGAAAAAATTTTTTACGTGATTCCTATTGGATTTCGGAAAAAATGTGACAAACACCAATAAATAAAAATTCCAACACCTTTGAATATATGTATGTTAAAATTAATGTGAAAAAAGATGGCAAAATGTCACAGGATGTGGGATTTCGGGGGAAAATAGCATGTGATTTGGGATCTTCCCCTTCCAGACCCTGACTACAAGGACTTACTCACTGGCTGAGATCCTGTACCGATTGACTCACACTGTATTGCCTGACTGTATTGCCTGACTGTACTGACTGACTGTACTGACTGACTGTACAGACTGAATGTACTGACTGACTGTACTGACTCATTTCACTGCACTAACTTACTGACTGACTGATGGATTCGTGGATGGGTTGTCAACTGGTTGGCTAACTTGCTGGCTGTCTGGATCAATAGTGGGAGATCTATAGATGGGTGGATGGATAGGTGAATGCCAGATAGAAGAAATGGATAAATGATCCATGAATGGTCTTGGTTTTCTCACCTGACTATTATCATTTACCAAAACCAGTTCTATATACTTTGTCTCAGAATCTATATTTCTCCTTTTCTGTCAAGAGTAAAAAGATTAACATATGATGAATTGCGATTACTGCAGTTTGTTTCATATTTTTTCGCCTTTTTTTTTCTTTCTTTCTTCCTTTCTTTCTCCTTCCTTCCTGGTATTTGCAGTAACTTTAAAAAGTAATACTTGAGCATTTTAAGCATATTTCTTTTTTTACCCTTGTTTTGATTTTGCTAGTATGTAGTAACTCCATCACATCATGCTCATGGTCGTGACCTGTAGATTTAAAATATGCAGTTCTTAGGCACATCTAATCATGGCCAACCAACTTATTTTTTACTAGTTAGCTAATCAAACAGCGAGAATTTGTGCATTTGCACGTGAAATCACACAACGTGACTACAAATATTAAACATTTTTTAAAGGTGATACCAATTTTGGTTCCCCTTGTTGGCTAATACTGGATACTTTTGTAAAAAAGTCTTTTCATTGATGGAAACACTTGGCAGGAAAGGATTTAACGACATTGGTAAAAAATGTTAGATTGGTGGCAAATGTAAAGCAATGTAATATAAATAAATATACACATACCACACTTTACTTTGGGGAGCTTGAGGTCACTCATTTTAAACATGATGTGTGGGTTGGCATGTGTCTATCGAAAATAGAAATCGACATCTATTTATCATCATCATTCATCATATATCATCACCATCACGTGCCATCATCATTCATCATCATATAATTATCATCAAAACATTATCATCATCATCATGTGTCATCATCATGTATCATTGGATAACATCAACATTTGTATCATCATTATCATGTATGCTATCATCATGTATCACTATCATGTACTGTATCATCATCATCATTGTCATTGTCATTATCATTATATATCATCAGATATCATCAACTATCATTAATCACCATATCAATATCATATTTTTGTCCTTATTATCATTATTTATCATCATCATCAGATATGATCATCTAGCATCATCATCATATTATCACCATTATTGTTGTCAACATTATCATCATCATATATAGTGTAACATTGGATATAATCATCTATGTATCATCATCATGTATCATCAGACATCATCATCTAGCATTATCAACATATTATCATCATTATTGTTATCAACATTATCATCGTCATATATAGAGTATCTTTGGATAAAATTATCATCCATCATCATCCATCATCATCATTGTCAAATTCACCATCACATCATGAATCATCTTAAAATTTGTTTTACCGTATTTCTAATTTCCTCAGAAGGTTGGATATAAAATCTCTCATTTCCATCAAATATCAGTCCCCTAAGAAAAGATCATATAGAATTTAATCAATTTTAGATTTAGAGCATATTTCAAATCACTAGAAAATATTTTCCCCCTTTCAAAGTCATATATCATAAAGAATTGAAGCAATATTAGTGATAAGACTAATTAATCAAATGAAGCAGAAATTTTAGAACATGTTCCAACGTGTGACAATTTTACATCATTGTACTTACTCAATGCCTCCACAAGTACTAATAGCTACTGAAGACTTTGGTAGACCTTTGATTGTCCCATGGTAATAGCAATTATCTATTGACTAAAAGAGGGGGGAAATTAAAACTTCTTGCAATTATCATAAAGACCCRCCCCTTGGACGTGATGTTAAAGCATCTCAATTTGGCGATAAAACAAAAGAGCTTCAATCTCACGAGAATTGGAAACCTATTGTATGTTATGACCTTGATATTGAGTTGCATTCTGATATGCTGCCAGGCAGGGGTGTATTACACCCATATGCATGCTGAAAGGGTCTATTGAATGAGAACTTGAAGCAAATTTAATGAAATTGTATTAAATAGAATATTTAATGAGATGGGATAAAAAAATAGTGGAATAGAATGAATGGGATAAATTGGGATAGGACATCAAAATGAAATGAAACTGCCAAAAAATAATAGAAATAATAGAATAGAATGAAACAAAATAGAAGTGAAAAATGCAATAGAACCAAAAAGGATAGTATAAAAATGGATTAAAATTGAATGAATGGCTCTCGAAGAACTTCATGAGTTTAATACATACTTCCTACTTTGAAAGAAATTTAGAAATATAATCTTTTACTTTATTTTAAGCCATTCATTTTAAAAATAAACACCAAAAAGATAACGTAATAGTATTAAGATTAATAATACCAAGACCTTGATCAATATTGATTGATCCTGTTTGCTCTTCATCAAAAACATGCCTATGACCATTACCACACTATACTAACTATATATAATATTCTTCGATTGCACATTACTTCATTGTGGCCATATTAGTGCCATTTAATGAAAGATTTCTCATTAGCATCCATTGTTAAGACTCCAAAGTACAAAAAAATGCATATTTACAATATTGTTTGTTTTTTTTTTTGCATCATGCTGTAGAAGTTTTAAAAGTTGTACAACAGTTCAGACAAATAAAATGAAAAAAATTTATATTTCTAAAAATATCTGGTCTAACTATTTATCGTTATTTATATTAATCTATTGAACAAAAATGTCTACTGCTGCATAAGTCTTGACAAATAATATTGATCGCTATATCATTATTAGCATATGCCATTCTAAAATTACATTTGTTTTGAAAAATAATATTCAATCGTCTAATCGCATTTCCTGTCACACCTTGTTCGTAAAAGTAGAGGTGCTTTCATTTTATCACAAATGGTTTTAAAAGCCAACCAAAATGGTTGATTAATAATTATGAAGATTAGAATATTTGGGCATATTTTTTGAATACACATACCTTGAAAGGTTGACTCGTGAGAATTCCTTTGGAGCTAACGAAACTATGCCTTGAGCCTTTTGGTAACAGCCCTCTGAAAAAATGATTAACACAGGATATAGCAATAATTATTATAAATAAAAAGGAAATCTAAACGAGTTTAATTCTCATGAATAATGTTGTGGATAACTCAAAAATGCTTAGAGATTTACCGATTACGAGATAACTGGAGAACAAAACGCCTCCCAAATCCTTCAACTGAGAAAGAAATTTCTTCTTGGTGACCATTCTGAATAAACAACAAAAACAATAAACGATATTAGATATTCCATCAAGATCAAAGATTCATAAACCTCCTAATGAGAAAAATCCACGAAGAATATAAATACAACGCTAAAATACCTTGTAAACTGTTGAAAGAGGGTCTGCAGAACGCCGGTATCGACCATCATCAAGAACTCGCTTTAGGTGAACAACTTCATAATTTTCTAAAAATTCGTCTGGAAAGTGCTGTCGATCTGAGCGAAATCCTTCAAAACACGAAGAATGGATATTATATTTAGAGGAGCATTAAAATTAATTGGCCAAAAGGGCGCAGTATTATATAAAGATGGCTCCCAACACAGCTGATTTGAAATGCTTTAATTGAACAGTGTGGTTCTAGAGTGGAGCCAGCTTACCTGCTATTCGAAGCACTAAAGCCAGTAGAACAACAAAAACTATCAAGAAAAGTCCTGCTTTCCTCATACTAGCTGTTATAGTCTTTCAATGAATCAAAAGATTTCGTATTCTAATAAACTCAGTATTTGAAAATTTGCCCATTTAGTTACGTAAAGTTGACTTCCTGTTATAAAACTGACCTTCACTCATGACTCACTTGCGGCCGCAGTGCATTACCACAGGAAACCCAAAAACTGCTTACTTTTGGAACTACAAAAAACACCGACTCTCGTCTCCAAAAAAATTATATTTTACTTCTTGCCGAGGAAAAACGTCACATAAAAAACTTCGATATAGTTAATCTTGAGTCTAAGTATCTAGTACACGAATAAATATGCATTCCATTAATCAGCTAATGAAAGAATGGGATATGGATGGGAATCTCGAGGTTTCGCTTTTGAGATTTTTAAAATTAAAGTGGAGAGGTTAAGTGATCATATTGTTATTTTCTGATAAGAGTTTATTCATTCATTTGTTCAGTTTTAATTACTGGCCCTAAGCGAGGAAGACTTGCGCCGTGGGCGGTGTTGAAGCCACAGCGCATAAATTCCTTCAATTGTTTAAACCGGATTTGGATTTGAACAGGTATATGGTAGACGGCGGGTTCTCTTGGGCACGGGATCCTAAGTCACTCATTTTTATCTTTATTCTCTTACTTATCAGATTTCGTCTCTAAAATTATGATCCCTCCATCATTCCGTTCTCTTACTGCGGTCAAAGATCTTTTATTTATCTGGATCAACTCTTTGTAAATCAGTGGCGATTGACGAGTTTCTAGTTATCGCGGTTCCCGAGTCATGGCCACCGGCTCGAAGAATCCAGTGGCCCAATGCTTGATCACTTTCGTAAATGACGATAAACCTGGGCGGAGATGTCTCCTTTTTCCGATGTGCAGTGTATTTCGTAAATAGAACACTTCTCAGGTCATGATATTTAGAATGTTGTGTGCAAAAATGCGGCGAAAGAAGCTCTTTCTTCTTTTTCTATTCTGCGTCGCTCTTGGAGTATGGTTTCTTATAGACTACGAAGTGTGGTTAAGTAAGAGATGTTGGACGTCGAAGTGTAAAAAATCACAGGGGCAAGATCGACAAGAATACGACGATCTTGAAGATCTTACACTAGAAAGGTAACTACTGTGCATTTGTTTACTATATTTATTAAGAATGTATATCCGCCATGATCATTTAGGCCCTAAGATTATAGAATAAACACAGCCTGTTCGATCACTCAGAATGTGTTTTAATCGAACTGCCAAATATTTAGGATCAAAATATTTCATTTATTGGCTATTTTCAGTCATTGTATGACTCGTTATAGTGTAATGGTTTACAAATGAACATTAAAATGGCTTGTTCACGAGGCTATCTTGATGGTAATGATAAGCAAAATTATCGCGTGCTTCTACAGTTCTATCATTCGAGATCTAAATTACTCGAGCATCATCCTGTTATGTCAAACAAAATCCAACCAAATGCTGATTTATTTTTCCTTAAACCTGAGCTATAGTAATCTAAAAGAATTAACTTCGTTCTCATAGTATTCTGTTAATAATCTAAGGATTACTGCTGTCTGTAGATAACAGACAGTTATTTGTTTAATCCTCACGTTCGAACTGACAACATTTGTGTTCAAAGCTAGACAGAAAGATACTCATCTGTTACTGGTAATGGTTAACAAACTATTATCATTGGTATACTAGTTAATATATTTAATATGAGACTCTGAAGTTATTGATTATATATACCAAACTTTTCTCAAACTTACTATGTGAATGTGTTTTGATAACCAATTCATAGTGAAAACACCTCTAAATTCCAAAATAGACTTTTACACCATTTGTAACTAATTTAAAGGGCTATAGAGTAAAGGATTCATAGAGTAACTCTTAACCTTAACATGACTGTTGAGGATTTTCAGAGGCTAATTGATTAGGAAGTATTGTAGATGTTAAAAGATTATTGGCCGTTTGTGGAAAATAATTGGATATAATTGTTGAGAGGCTGCACTAATTCAAGATTCATGAACATAAGTGACAATTGAATCAGACAATAAACTAATAATTTGGAACTACAAGTAAGTTCTTGTTAGCATTAAATTTGACTTCTTTAGTCTTTATACTTTATATGTGCTAGCTCTGAAATTTAAAAAATATTCAAATCAATTTTGTTTTACAAAAACTTATTATTGCATAAAATTGATTGATGGAAAACCAGTTGAGTGTCAAACTAACAGGCAAGCATGCAACATGCATACCAGTATGCATTATTACTTATTTTAGTATAATTGCTCTAGTCAAAAGTGGAAAAACAGAAAAAACACAAGATAGATGAATTCAAAAGTCATGAAGCTATAGTCACTATGAAGCATGTTGAGATGGAATTTGATGACAAAACATAAAGCAGAAAATTTTTATTCGCATCTCTTCAATCTGGCAAGGATTCTCTTTGGTGTTACAAACTGAATTAAATGTTTTAACATTTAAAAAAATATGAAATGTGTTTTAACATTCAAAAAAATATGAAATGTGTCATTATTTATATGTAATATGAAATATAATCCAATGTTTCTTGTGGTGGGCAGGGGTTTCTTGGGGCAAATTTCATTAAGAAGAATAAGAGGATCTAGCTGTTATGAAGATGGGATTATCTGTAGGAGATGTGTCTGGAAAAGCATCCATGCATAGAAAATAGGGTTAGGATAAAATTTTTAGGAAGATTGAGGGTGGATTTGAGGGCAAAGCTCATGCTGTTCATAGAAAATTAAATAAATAAATCAATGTGGATGTGAATTCATGGTTAAATAAATAATTGGACCACCATATTAAGCTACAAATTATGCATTCACTGTTTGAATTCATTACATATATGAGCATTTTTGGGGATTAATTTACATAGTAAAGGAAGTTGGCACTTGCATGGGGTAATAATTATATATTGTACATGAATTATATTCTCTCCACCAACTCAGAGTATTTATTTATCTATAGCAAGGAAAAAATATTTCAATTATTTCATTTATAATATTGCTATTTTGTATGTAAAAATTTAAATTGTCATCAAAAAGGGCCAGATTTAGCATTGCATACAGGGGGTATATGATATATTTTTTTCTTGAGAATGACTCCTTTGTTTTACTTTAAGGCATTAGGTTTAGGGCTCAATATTATCAAGATTGCATACTTCAGCCAATCCCCTTATGGGATTACCTGGAACTCTACCCTTCCTCTAACTTCCTCAGGAGGGGAGGGGAGGGTGGGTGGGAGAATGGGACAACTTTATATACCTAAATTTTAGGTTATCCAGAATAAAGCCTGCAATTGAATTAAGATAGAAAAAGAAATGTTGAAGCAAAACAGAGAACTCTATACATTCCTCTTTTTCCTTGATTTCATTTTTTTCAAATGCAAGGATCACAAGCCTTTTTAGCCAGCAAAACTCCTTTTCTGAGATGTAGCAAACAGTGCATTGTGGTCTAGCTTGGGTAGAAAAATCTTTAGCTCTTTATGCATCATGGGTGCCCCCCCTTTTAGTTTGGGGTTCATTTTTTACCTTTTTTAATCCAAGATATTTCCAGAATGCAGGAAAAAACATTCCTGGAAACCATATTTTACAATACTTTTTTGGTACCATGCCCGCAACCCCCTCTCGTAAGTTTTGTGTACTCAGTGGTTAGATTCATCTAACACCAAATTTTTGTGGCCCCCCATTTCTCAGATTCCAAGATCTACTGTACCCCCTCTGCATGGTATTGTTTCAACCAAGCTTGGCCACAATGCATTTTGGTTGTTAAATTCAGAAAATGCCTTTGGCTATGGGCAACCCTCATAAGCCAGGTCAATAACGATTGTTTTTTGTTGAATTTCAGAATAGAAAATGTGCTTCTGATTCCAAATCCAGTGAGGGGCATTAGGAACATATCCAATGGTAGTACATGTACACTACCCAACTTGGACCCTTTTGAAGTGTCTGTCAGCCATCTTATTCAAGACTTAGGAAGAAATGCTAACTGCCAAGGACCAGACTTACACTTTACCATCAGCAGTAGGGGAAACTTAGTGTTAAGAAAGAAAGAATATAGGTCTGCAATCAATTTAAGAACAGTCGAATTAAGATACATTAGTAGACCAAATAATGATGATGATTCATATGATACCAGTGATGAAGTGTTACCATTTCAAAAGAAAGCAGACAAAAAATACAGAAAAATGACTGGAGACTTCATAAATGTGAACTATGAGCTCAAGAAAGAGCTAGAAAATCAAAATCAGTTTTTTGCGCGAGTTGTTCCAAAGGAAAACGTTTTGCAAAGGTCAAAGGAGCTCTTGAAAAAAAATCCTGCAGGACTTCCTCTAAATATTCTGATATTTGGCTTTGATTCTACGTCTCATGCAATGTTTCAACGAAAACTTCCAAGAACGGCTGTCTATCTTCAGAATAAACTGAAAGCTTATATATTTAAGGGATATTCTGTGGTGGGAGATGGTACGACGCCTATTCTTACAGCATTATTAACTGGAAAATTTGTGGGCGAGTTACAAAAAAATGAACAAGGAGGATCGAAGAGAACAAATTATTTGGATGTTTGGCCATGGATAATGAAGGATTACGAAAAACACGGATATGTATCTCTTTACGCTGAAGATGACCAACGAATAGCTACGTTTAATATTCGTTTAAAGGGTTTTAACAAGCCTCCAGCGGACCATTACATGAGGCCTTTCTGGTTGGCTTTGGAAGATCATATCCTTCGAAAAATGAAGCGAAAGAAGAAGTTTCCTCACAATAATCTGGCCTGCCTTGGCTCTGAGCCTCTTCACAACATAACACTCGATTACTTGTTTAGTATGTATAATGCCTACCCCACCACACCAAAGTTTGGATTCGCCTTCATGTCGTACCTCTCACACGGCATCCCAGAGCAACTCAGCTATGCAGACAACGACATCGTGGAATATTTGAAGCGCTATGAAAAGATACGTAATAACACCGTACTCATTCTTCTAAGTAAGTTTAAATCATGTACTGCATTAGATTTTCCATGCATGTTTATTATAGTGTTTATGACCACGGCCTTATGGGATGTAAAACAGCCGTTCGATAACGTCCCGCGGACTGACAGCATCGGTCAACGTCCTGCGCAACATATCACACACTCGGCACATAATCAAATAAACAAATAAACAAATTTTATTGGCTGAGAGCATCACATCACGTGTTTGCCAGGTACAAACTGGTTATCTCGACCCAAACGATAAAATTTATTGTTTGCAACGCTGTGAAACTAGATATTGAGTCTACTTCTGCAACTACTACTCTTTGCGCACAGCACTGAGCTGCAGACTTGGACACACTTTGCAAATTCACTATTGCCTGCCGTACGCGCAATATTCGTAGTGTATATCGAGGCCTTCAGATTTCAACAAACAATCTTTAATAACAGTAAGRTTAAAAGAAAAAAAATTCACGTAAGCTAATATTGCTTTTCCTCATTTGTAATAGCTAGACCTGCTCTGACACCAATGTCAACCTAAAATAGACCTTTTCGGCTTTGGGCGTATCTTGAGATGAAGATTTTTTGTTTGAGTTGTCTATTCTGTGCGCGCACAATTATAGTTTCGTTGTTCGATGCCTCAAGCATCCAAATTTTTCTTTTCTACCATTCGTTGACAAAGGTTCGTTAATTTTTTTTTTCTTTTCCGTCAGGTGACCATGGCACTCGTATAGGCCCCCTTCGAAACTCCATGCAAGGTAGCCTGGAGGAACGACTACCATGGCTCTCTATCGTACTTCCAGAATGGTTTGAAAAGAAGTACCCAGATATGGCTGACAATATGAAAAATAACCAACATTTAGTCACTAGTCCTTTTGACGTCCATGCAACATTACGTCATTTTCTATCTTTTCCGAAAGAAGATCCTGGACAAATGACTCAAAGTCTCTTTTCTAAAATTGACAAGCTTCGACCATGCGCAAAAGCAGGTAAGAGGACAAAACTTGTCGCGGCTGAAAGCTGAACCGCGGTAATTTTTAACTTGCATGAATTTATTCAGGCCATTGATAAGTACTATGTTTGCGCGCTCCTTCCGCAAAGTTGTGCGCACTAAATTATTTGGTGGGAAGGTATTTTCGCACTCCTGACAAAGTTCCAACATATGATGACCTTAGCCAATGCAATTTACTTGTGTTGGCATATTGCTGGTTAAGAAACTTTCTGCGCTTATTTCTACCTTTTGAGTGAACTTTATTAACCATCCTCACTCTGAATAACGACCAGTTCTGTAATTACTTATTAGGTATCGATTACCATTGGTGCCCGTGTCTCAAATGGCATCCCATCTCAGTGAAAGCAGATGAAGTACTTGCCTCTGCTAAATCTGTCGTGCAGAAAATTAATGACAACATTTCCAAAAGAGACTTGTCTTTTTCTCAGTGCTCACCGCTGGAATTAACTAGAGTTGTCTACGCTGCAGAACTCGAATCAGAAAAAACGGGATCTGAATACTTGCTCAGTCCGATCAAAAATGGCCGAATGCGTCGTCATAAGGTCCCTAGTGGTAGAAGACTCCAGATTGTTCTAGAAACCTCTCCTCTGAAAGGCACTTTCGAAGCTACAGTTACAGTTCGTAAAAACGGTCGAGTTGTCGTAAACCCGCATATAAGTAGGACAAGTGTTTACAGTGATAACCCGCATTGCATTGTGGATACTTTACCGGAACTTAGGAAATTCTGCATTTGTTATGATAAACTTAATAACAATAACAAACGGTAACACATGGTGAAACTCTACTGGAAGGGACCGCTACAATTTCTAATACATAGTGTTTCGTTAGAAAATGGATGATTTTTWAAGATTCTTCTTTTTCAAAGTTATTTGCATGTCAGGGGGTGCTCACCCACTCCACCCCCCAGATGGGTGGTTTGTCCCGATCATGAATGATGCACCCRCTATTCTAAAAAAAAAACCTGTCCTGCTCCTGTATATTACAAATCACTTTATGAGCCAATCAGAATTAAGGAATTATATTCGATTTCATTCATACCTCTGTTCAAAAATTTCTCAACCAGACATATTCAAGAAAAATCGATTAGGCTGCGTTCATAGTGTATGGCAGAGGGGGGCACTTGAAATTGAGAGGGGATCGGTAAATTTTTGGTAGGAAAAAGGGGGGATGGACAAATTTTTATCAGAAAAATGGGGGGGATGCAAAATTTTTGAAGAAGCTACAAGCCTTGCTTAGGGGGGATCATATTTTTTTGCATGGGGGGCGTTAAGAATTATTTGGGACATTTCAAATTTTTACCTCACCCCCCCCTCTGCCATACATTATGAGCGCAGCCTTATACCATACTATTTGAAACTTTGTACGGACTACAAATTAATTTGGGATAGTTAATATAAATCTGATTGCGAAATTCAAAGTTCAAGATAAATAGATTATCGTGTAATTATTTTACATTATAAAATATTTGAAATATAACGGGCGCGCTGATTGGCTGGCTACCATGTTTATATCAGAGGACACGCTCGAGCAAAATCGTCCTAAGATATTTTATAAAAGAAATAAAAAACGCCTGCTTATGTCTCTTTACGGTAATATAAACACTCTGGGAACTGTAGAGCACTCGAGAAGCAAGAGAAACACTTGGCTACGCCTCATGTTCCTAAGCTTGCTTCTCGCTCTACAGCTCCCAGCGTCTTTATATCAGAGTACATCTAAAAACAAATATGGCAGTGATTTTATGATCATGAAATATTCATCCGTATCCATTGTATGAAAATCCCAGAAATTATATATTTGCTATATCTACATAAACAAAATATTCAACAAACAGTTATGTGGAATGAATACTTTGGACAATTTTTTTTTATGACGTCACGTGAAAGCCAAGAATTGAGGCTGGACAGATCAAAATGAGTGGTAATCATAGCATTCAACACTCGAATGGCTTTCATAATCAATCAAGTTTTTTTCTTGACTTTTGATTGGTTCGACGGTAACTTACATAGCCCTTTCTCATGCAGTAACCATAGTTTGCTGGTGCTGGAGTTATGTATTGGATTGTTGTCCTTGCATAGCCTCGCATTTTTGGCCACCGTAGAGAAAAGTGTAAGAACTTCATGAAGCCAGCCTCTCATTTAATGAACAATATTCTCATATTTGGAAGAATATTTTACTATTACCAGTGGCGGATCCAGAATAATATCTGCATAATATCTCTTTATACATTTCTTTCTTTGGGACACCCTCCTAACAAATTCCTAGATCCGCCCCTGATAGCTCTAATCGGTTGATGCAAGAGAGCATAAATAAGAGAGGGAAACTTCTTATTGTGGCGTGCGCCATGTAAATCCAGGTTGGGCTATTTTTTGTAACCGGATGCAGTTTAAATTTCGCCTTACCCTACTCCCGTGTGTCATCAACTTGCGCGCGTGCGATCTTTCCGTTTATAATAATCACTAAAAACGAAACGGAAAGAGCGCGCGCGCAACAATGAGAATTCCCTCTCTTATTTATGCTCTCTTGGTTGATGTTGAATTTTGTTATTCTTTGAGCATTCATCCACAAATGAGAAAATAAACGTTTTTTAAGACTCAAAATATCGTTTGGTTAAACTATTGCCTGCATGAAGTATATGTATACATAGGGTGTGGCCAGACGCCAGGGAGGGTTACCCATGCCAGGCGTATAACGGCATTCATGGCCGGATATACATGCATACATAAACTTTATTAACGCAGTGTCAGTCTTCTAGCATATCACAAGTAATACACTAATCGGGGGGACACCGGAGAAACTACAAAAAGTATAGGTTCCAGCGATTTAGTTTGCTTTGGGTCTCTCTTTGGGGTTCCTGTGGTAAAGAGGAGGCGAAGAGTCCTGGGCTATTGCTCTTCCTCAGTCTCTGCTCGACTATACCCTTAAAATCCAAAATGGCGTCTTCAAATCTCAAATCACAATTAAATCTTTACGCTGCATTTTTGAAGCACAGAAAAGGAAAATACGACCCTCACTTAGATGGTTTGTAAAATTATTAGTCATTAACTAATTTTTTAAATTTTTTTTTCATGTTTATACGAGTCTTTCAATGATAATTATTCCAGGACAAATTCAAAGCGAAGGGAAAGAAATCTTGGAAAGTCATGATCCACAACAGAGAAGATRCCGTGTTAATGGTCATTCAATCTTCTGGATGGTGGCTTCAATGTGTGTATTCTACTATACAGACTTTTATATGGCTATTAGGATTGATCCACGCATTCACAGGTAAAATAAAATGAAATGGCAAATGACTGTCTGTCTGTTTGTCATACCCTGTGGACTGACAGACTGAATGAAAGATTGTTTGATTAAACAACCCTCTTTACACAAATATTGTTTTTCAGGACCTGGCTATTGATAGGAGGGTGTTTAATTGGCCTCAATATCCTTATTGGTGCTTATCTAATCATTTGGTGCAGTTATATTAAGAAGATAAATGACTGGGATGAGCAAAACCCTGTTCTTATCCCTGTTGCAACAGCTTCCTTCATTGTTGGATTTATCTGGTAAGTTGGAAATGCATTATACATCTTAAAAATCCTTCACAATTTCTTTGCTCACAATAAAATCATATAATTTTCTGGCTAAGAGACTTGCAAGTGCCTAAAGTGATCTTCTACTTGGACAATGCAGTGGCCATCTTGAATTGTAATGCATAATGGTAGCCCAGGGGGCAAAACAAAACAAAAGATGTGTGACAAATTTGATAATAATTATTAAAAATTAATGATTATTTAAAACTGTAGCTGTTGTATTAAAGCCTCTGTACACTAATATATTGCTTGATTTTTCTTTTATTACAGTTGTACATATGCTTTATGGCCATTGTGGAGTTTTCTTACGCCTTTCATCAATTTCACACTTTTCATGGGTGTTATCTTTCTTTCGACCCTGTTACCTATTTAACAATGCTCATACTCTAACAATATCCAATGCAATCCCAAGCCAGTATGAATCAGAGAGAGGTCTTCTCTATTTCAACTTATATTTGTATTCGCTCTTGCATTCGGCTTATCCATTGTGAAAAGCATAAAACATAGCACTCAGGCATTATTGGTATCAATACATGTATATATTTTGAGAATTTTCTGTGCATTGATTAGAAAATCCATGTCAAAGTGGTACACCAAGTGATATCACAACTATGCATTTTTAGCTTACGTACTCACACATAATGAAGAATAATAGCATTTAAAGTATTTTTGTACAATATTAGACACAAGTTACAGGCTGAGTGAGGTGCAGAAGTTTGACCAACGATAATGTATTCACATACTTTTATGCACTGGCTGTTGTACAGTAAGCCTTCATAGAAGTATACAAATTCAATGTGGTCATATTTTGAGTCCAGTGTCGTATTGTAATATTACAATAATGGATGGGTAGTACATATGTATTAAAATTGTATTTATAGGTGGAAGTACTTATATGTTTTCTTAGACATTGTGCTGCTGCCAGGCTGTGCTTATTGAGAATAAGTAGTTCATAAAAAGAAGAGACAACTAGCTAAAAACTAAATTTTACTCCTTGAAAAGATGAAAAAACTGACGTTTGTAACGCTATTCCTTCATCGGAGTTAACTATAGAATACCCCACAAATGATATGCAGTTTTTAGAACTCTTTGCAAAATAACCAATATAAAAATAAAAGTCATTGTTATTATACTGTAAATATTTACATATGAATTGCTGGGTATTTTGTAGTTATACCCACTACACATAAAAAATATGTTTCTAAATGCTTCCATTCATATCTATGGAGTTTTGCCTTCTATAAAAGTTGTGATAATCTTGAATATTGTGCATGTAAATAGCAAAATGTATTTTATTATGCAATAGTAGGAAATGATAAGTATATGTTATYTTTATTTTTAAGATTGTAAAGCGCCATGAGCACAGGATATGTGCGCTATATAGATAAAGTTATTATTTATGTGATGCATAATGTGATGTAAAAATTTCATGTAACAATTTTTATAGTTATTTTTCTCGATTTATTGTTGGATATTAATTTTTGATAAGTAATTCAAATATTGATGGTTTTCACGGCTGCCATGTTGGAGGAATTTAACAAAAGATTCGTCATTAGTCTCTTTTGTTATATCCTCCAACATGGCAGCCATGTCTTTTGTAGTTACATTCTCTTGGGAATGATTCCAATAAGTTTCCCCGGGTTCCCTGTGTATTGTGGGTTTCTATGACAACGAAGTTTCCTACCACAGGAAGTCCACCATAATAGAAGTCGAGTGGAGTTTTTGAAAGTCGAGGAAGAAGGAGAAGAAGAAAAAGAATATTTTTCTCGTGGAATTTTAACACGTAGTTTTGACTTAAACATTTGTGTGGCTAAACTTACAAGCTTTAAATCTGTCATTTAAACGCTGTAATGGGAAATAGAAATTCTACGGATGAATCGATAAGAGCGGGTCAAGATGTCATCAAACAAGCAGAGAATGCCTTCCATGAGTTGTACCGCTACGTCGACCTCAAAGGCGGTGGTAAACTAGTCACTGCATTTCGACGAGCACAAACCACGAAAGACTATACTGAGGTCAATAATATCATTCAAAATGAGCTCCGTAGATTCCTGTACAACGATGGGAATGCAAAGCTGGTTCCAGTGGCTGATATCGTCACTATTCGACAAGGATCAAGGCAACAAGCTTCTAGTTCCAACCCGAAAAATATTCAACGAAGTTGGAAACTGTGTGGATGGAAACCAATTCGGGTAAAAAATACTAGTCAAGTTGGTCTTATCAACGACAGTTTTACTCTGGAAACTCTACGAGGTAAATATTTTGTAAGTTCACATTCCGTTTCGCCTCATTAGTGCTTGGAAGATGGCAATATTTGTCGTCGTTTATTCATTGTATTGTTAATTGTTTTATGTATTTAATGGTTTAAGCTTTACAGTCATATTCATTTACTTGCTGTCGAATTTCTTATGTTTAGTGTTTAGTGGCTATAAGTTTCTTTATTTAAGTTTTTAAACAAATTTATTGATTTATAATATTCGCTGATGCATTGTGTAGTTCATACAGCACCAGCTAGCTGCAGTTTGCTTTATCTGTTATGGTGCTTTAGACTGGGTAGTGTAGAGATGAATGAAAGTCCTATTTGGGTCTCTCTATATTTAATTCAATGCTTCCCTCCCCCCTCCCCAGGGGGATAGCCAGGTCTCGGTCATAGAAGGAGCAAATATGTACCATTTTCCTGCCATGTCACTCGCATGTACACGTTTCATTCTTCAAGTTTCCCATCATCTTCATAGGTTTAGTAAAACTTTTTTAAGGGGGGAGAGGGGGAGTAGTCACCTTCTCTCGCCTACTTGCTACGCCACTCCCCCTTGCTCTCCTAATCACACACGCAAGGGTGACTGGCTCACATCTCACTGATTCCAGACTCACTTCAGAGCAGTTTTGCTCGATATATATATATACTCCTACACTCATGAATTACTATTCTTTTCTAGATTTCAATGGCTGTCATGAGTATCGCCAGATGTGCTGGCATCTTAATCATCTGGGTGCAGTGGGAGAATCACTTCTGCATCTGTGTTTTTTGAATGCTACCAAAGTGCATTATGATCTTGCCAAGAAGCTTCTGTCTGTGTACCCACACCTTATCAATGATATTTACATCAGTGATGAATACTACGGTATAGTAACATATAGATATTTATAAAATATTTAGAATAGATAATGTGCGTACTGATTGCTTGCCACCCTGTTTATATCAGAAGACAGAGACATGCTCGCACAAAAGCAACATGGCTGCCTATGTCACTGTACTGTGATATAAACACCTTGGGAGCTGACGAGCACTCGGCTATGTCTCATGTTCCTAAGCTTGCTTCTCTACAGCTTTCAGCATGTTCATATCACAGTACAGAGACATGTGTGCTTGTTTTATATTCCTTAAATATGGGCATTCCTGTTATGCATTATTAACGTTGTTAATAGAGACTCTGAGGTCGCAAATATATACATATATATCTTTGTAGATCTTCCTGATTTCTGCTTTCCATTACCAGCCATGTTCTCTTCATGGTGTCATAACCACTGTTGCCATTGCTGTGTCCTGATTGATACAACAGTAATGTAATAAGAGAATCAACAATAGATTACCATCAATCAAGTAAATCATTCCCAAGTACCTTTTTTAACCATTTATTTCATTGATAGAAGTCAATAATATTGCTTGATTTCCCTGTTGCAGATGTTGTCTTGATCAGGAAGTCAATGAAAACAGTGTTAACGACATTATAGGATGACTAGTTGATCAGTTTTTCATGTGTCCACTTTCCTTTTGTATTCTGTTTGACCAGGTGAAAATTGCCTTCACATGGCAATAGTTAATGAAAATCTGGAAATGGTTCATTTCTTGTGTAAGAAAGGGATAAATATCCACGAAAGARCTTATGGGGCCTTCTTCTGCCCTGAAGACCAGAGAGATTCCAGAGAAGATGAAGAATCTAAAGAAGCTGYTGAGTTAAAGGCAGAAACAAATTATAAAAGGTAAATCTATATCTACTCGTCCACCCATACATTCAATTTCATCTTATTCCATTCATCTATCAGCCACCCAAACATCCATCCATCCACCTACCTGGCCATATATTCATCCACTCATCCATCCTATCCACCTGTGCATCAGCCACCCAAACATCCATCCATCCACCCACCTGGCCATCTATTCACCCTCTCATCCATCCTATCCACCCATTCATCAACTACCAAAACATCCATCCACCCGAAACCCATTTGTTTATGTGCCCATCCACTTTTTTATCTATTCATCCATCCATTCACCCAATCAACCTTCTCTTCATCTCTCTCCTTCCATTCATTAGTTAGTCATCCACCCATCTATTATCCTCCCACATGCATGCACACACACCCACACACACACACACCCACATCCAACCATCCACCCATCTATTATCCTCCCACATGCACGCATGCACACACTCACCCACACCCACATCCAACCACCCACCCATCTCTTATCCTCCCATACACACACATCTGTCCCACTCCCCCCCCTTCCAAACACACATAGAAATCCACACATCCATTATCATTCACAGGCTGCTTATTAATCATTGATTACTTTCTTCATTTGATAATTTTCTTCTATCTCTAGCCACACATACTGGGGAGAATATCCGCTATCATTTGCAGCCTGTCTTGGTCAAGAAGATACTGTCAAGTACTTACTACAACGTAAAGCCTGTCCCAATRAACAGGACACCAATGGCAATACTGCACTTCATTTGGTTGTTATCCACGACAGACCAGTATGTTACTCCTATTATTTTATGATTCATTAATTTATAGTGCGCAAATATTGATTAAAAAGTTATCAAATGCGCATATTAATATTTGGAAAATTTGATGTTGGAAAAGAAAGAGTAATTTTAACTTCTCCTTTTGTCAATGACTTGTATGCAAAAATCTTTCTTTTTTAACTTGGCTATTGTCATCTCTAGGACATGTATGACTTGATACTGGACTATGGGTGCTGGTGTGATTGTGGTTGCAATGAGGYGAAATCAGATGTCAAAAATGTTCAAGGTCTGACTCCTTTGACGTTGGCAGCTAAGCTTGCTAAGAAAGAGGTAAGAGTACTTTTTTTACCAGTGGTGGGGGGGGGGGGGGGGAACTGCAGCTGCTTACTCCCACTCCTAAATCCACCCATATTTAGACAAGACCTTATTTCTAAATTTCATTTTGGCTGTTTTAGTCATTTTTCCATAGACATGTTGCTATGTTGCTTTCATGCCATTAATTTATTAATTTATGCTATTAACTTATCATTATCTTATTCAAATTGTTTCAGATGTTTCATCACATCATTAACAGAGGTTCGAAAGTGTTCTGGGAATATGGGGGTGTCTCATGTGCTGCATATTCCCTCAAAGATTTAGACACAGTAAGGATTTTCTATTATCGGTATTAATAATAAATAATAATAAATAATAATAATAAATGTTTTATGTGGATGCTAATGATAGTATTGGTGATGATTTTGATGATGATGATGTCACTGATGATGATGATGGTGATGATGATGATTGATGATGTTGATGATGATGATGGTCATGATGATGATGGTGATGATTTTGTTGATGATGATGATGATAATGTTGGTGGTGGGTATCATAATTGTGTTCATGCTCTTGTTGATGCTGACGAGAGTGGAACTGATGATGGTGGTGATAACTCTTCAGTCATTCCTTGCTTTCTCTTTTTTACTTACTTACATCTTTCATTTAATCTGTAATAATTTAGAATAATCTTTTATTGACAAATATTATTGATAAATTATATATTGTAATGTAAATGTTTCTTTCAGACCGATTCCCAGGGACACATTTTAGAAGCATCAGCACTCAACATCATTATTCATGAAGTAAGCTGAAACATTGATCTAAGATAAATAATGATTATAGGAGATCATTTTTCTTTGCATGGTTGATCCCTCTTGGAAATCTACAACATGAAACCCATCTATGCATGGGAAAAAGCATCCAAAAATGGGAATTAAATGAATGAAAAGAARAATATCTTTTTTTAAAACAGGATTCTCGAGAACATCTGGAGCTGATCGATGGAATAATTCATAAGATTTTGGATCTCAAATGGCACAAGGGCTGTAGATTTAGGTAATGACACAGTTGTAAAGGGTCCCTGTATGAAGCCTATATGTTGCTATCAATAGACATCACTTCCAGTAATAGCTGCGTTCTTAATGGCTTGTAGAATCTTGGAGGTTGTTTTGATCTCTCGTTTTCTGGTTTCATCTTGTAGAAATAGTCAAATACAATATTTTGAGGACTTATTTTGACATGTCTTGACTTAACATCCACTAGTTGCCCTTCAGTCAACCGCTTGTTTGTCCCCTAGTCAACTCCAAAAAGTCATGTAATTGATAGTAAGCAATATGGTCTTCAATATCGCTTCTTTGACGCACATTTATTTGATGGTTTTATGTTTTCAGATTCTTCCAGCTGCTTCTGTTATACATTGTTTATTTGATATTTATTGGTGTCGCACTGGCTCTAAAGCCTCAGGTTGGTATAATTCAAAGTATTCATGGTTTGAGCGTCTTGGCTGTAATATCTAAGAGTAATCTTTGAGTATATTTTTTATATTGATACGTGATATGCATTTTTTCACAGCATCCAAACTGCAAAGATACTGTGAATGCAACTCATGTCAACCTTTCTTCAAGCATCATTGCAACTAATGGAACATCCACTGGGGAGCAATGTGACCCTTGCTACCTAATTAAGGATTTTCTCTATGAATCAACAAATCAAAGGGTAAAAAAAAAAAAGATTGTTCTTTTTTCTCCCTATTCTCAAAGCAACCCTTACTAATTCAAACTGGTTAAAGCTGTGCTCTGTGGTCATACATGGACTGAATAGTGGCTGCCAGAGAGGGTTTCAGTTCAACCCTGTTGAGCTGCACCATTGCTTACTCATCATGGTGATTATTGGTAGCAATTAACAAGTACTAGTTCATTAGGAACTTTAACCAACAATAAGGGTGTTGAAGTTGATGGTGAAAATGATGATGTTGTTGATGGTGATATTGATGATGATGATGATGAGGATGATGATGATGATGATGTTGTTGATATTGATGATGATGTTTATGATTGTGCTGATACATGAGGATGAGGATGGTATTGATAAAGGGTGTTGAAGTTGATG